TAACAGTGGCCTCTTGTAGGAATACAAGTCAACGGATTACATGCCCCGGTTTTCTTCAGATCAACATCCACAACATAAAGTTGAACAATATAAACTGGGGATCGCCACTGCCTTAAAAATCATTGCAGCTTAAAAAAGAACCAGTTGAGGGGCACCTGGGTGGCTCAGTCGGTTAAGCGACTGCCTTCGGCTCAGGTCATGAACCTGGAGTCCCGAGATCGAGTCCCGCATCAGGCTCCCTGCTCAGCGGGGAGCCTGCTTCTCCCTCTGACCCTCATGCTCTCTCTATCTCATTCTCTCTCTCAAATAAATAAAGAAAATCTTTAAAAAAAAAAAAAAAAAAGAACCAGTTGAGGGGCGGCCGGCTGGCTCAGTCAGTAGCACATGAGATTCTTGATCTCGGGGTTGTGAGTTCGAGCCCCACGTTGGGGGTGGAGTTTATTTAAATTAAAAAAACAAAAAAAGAACCAGTTGAATGTGGTGTGAAGGGGACGAAGGTGGTGCCATTTAAGGTGGCTATGGCTCCAACCCTTTAAAAATGTCTTTAAAAATTGAGAAGTAAAGGGAAAGAATTAAACACGTACCTGCCTTCCTAGCAGAAACAGAATTTCAGAACAACGAAAGAGCTGAGTTAATGACTCAAAGCAGTGCTTTAGAGAAAAAGGGCAGCTTATAAATGTAGATTAGATGACAGATGAGAAAAATCGTCACTTTGAATGCCTGCTGAACTTATTGATTCACTCAAGGAGACCAACCAGCAAGAAAGCATTAGCTACAGAGCTGAGCTAAAGCGCCAACAGGGCGCTCACTGACAGGGTGCTAACCCAGCACCGCGCAGACCACCTTCAGCCTGCGAGGGGGGAAATAAGCATCAAGGGGCAGGAGGGGACACCCCGTTATCGCCCTACACACAGCGCTCCCTCTTTGCGTCCCTAACGGTGCCATGACTGGATCCGACCTGGCTCCCCACGATTGGGGGACAGCTGGAAAAACTGCAAGAGGGGCTGAGTATTAGATGATATTAAGGAATATGAATCCTTTTTAAAAGGACGGCCATTCTATTTTGCTTATGTAGGAAAGTGTTCCTAATTTTTCTTGCGTTCCTAGTTTTTAAAGATACATACTGAAGTGAGAAAAAAAAAAAAAAGGAAGAAACAATTCAGCAGTATCTGGAAGTCGACTCCCAGTTAGAAAGCCGCTTTCCAATCAGGAATGCGAAACTGGCACGGTGCTGAAAACATAGTTGGTTTCCAAGAAGCGGGGGAAGAATAGATAATTTTTTATGGATGAAACAGAAACGCAGATGCGGAGAAGCAATCCCCTCTGCACAGCCCCCCGCCCCCCAGACGTGGCCCGCAGCCCAATTAGTCACAAAGAAAAGGCAAGCAGCAAAGCCACAGGAAGAAATGCTGTTGGCCACAATGTTACTATAGTGATGAACAAAACACTGTCAAAACACTAGGAACCTTAAGAAAAACTATACAGAGGATTTCATTCCTTCGTGGCCACACCTAAATGAGGTTTTTTTTTGTTTTTGTTTTTGTTTTTGTTTTTTCCTAAAGAACCACTATGGATGGTGTAGTGGGGAAGAAGAGTATTAAGAAAGGGCAGGGATTATTTCTCGGGATTAGGAGATGGTAACTCTGGGCTACCGTGGCTTCTGGTTCAGGTTCTGCCATGACCTCTCTCGGGACAGTCCCTGAGAAACATCTCTAGGGCCCCCACTCCCTGTCTCTAAAACTGAGGGGGTAGGACTAGCATCTTAGCGTCTTAACAATTCACGGTTAAAGATAAATAATTCAACACATGAAACGTCCACCTCACTGGATGACCTGTAGGGCTATGTTCATTGCATAATTCGATAATTCTAGAAGTAAAAGGCTCGTCTTTCTGCTGCATATGCAGTTCCACTGGGGGAGGACTGCTGCCATGTAGAGAAAAGAAGATTATTCATTTGCTTAAAAAGAAAACATGAAAATTTGTTCTATTACCCTTTCCCCTGTCTGGCATTTTTATTACACTTTCAGTTTTAAACCCTGATTTTATTTAATGGTCTGCAACCACCACAAACAAAAACATCTTATGCTTTTAGCAGTCCCATCTTGTCAGTGTATCTGCCTCGCTAAATTATAGAATTCTCTGACTCATCGGGACAACATATTATCCTCTAGACAGCAAATTGAAAAAAAGCAATTTTCCCATCTCTGAGAAAGATAATTGATTTGATTTTGCTGTCAATGTTACCGTCGTTCACTCTATCACTCAGGCTCGAAACCTTGAGATTATTTTTACTCTCTGTACCTTCCATCGCCCACAGAGTCCCCACGTTGTAATGAGTTGCCTTTAATAATGTCTCTTGCGTCAATCTCCTCTGCTGCAACCTAAGTTCAAGTCCCTATTATCTCTCAAACCCGGATGACCAAAATATTCTCTTTTCCCTTAATGACTTGTACACGGTTCCTTTTTATTATGAAAGTAATACCTGCTCATTAGAGGCAATTTGGAAATTTCACAAAGGCAGAGAATAACATCAATTATCCGCGCGGCCCTTCTGCCCCGAGATGATCATTTCGATTCCTTTCCTTCCACTCGTTCTATGTGTATGTTCATGTGTTTTTATCCAAATTAGGATTGCAGTGTACTCTGTAGGGATGATGTTTCTTACTCTTGTATCGTGAGTCTATTGCTGTGACATTAAATGCTTTGAAAGCCTAACTTGTTTTTTATGAGGACACAATAAGGAACAGAAGCCCAGCACCTGATGTGCTGTATCCACACAGCGGACTTTCAAGGACCGGTCAGAGGTGTCCGAGGACCTGCGCCATCTCCAGCCCCCTGCTGCTAGCGCACTAGCTGGGGAGATGAAGAAAGAGATGGGGTCTTCCTAAGGAAAATAGCCACAACAGCATTTTTCAAAGTGGGCTCTGCAAACCATCTCGCCAGAATAGAAACCCTCTGTGGGCTCCTGTTAAATACGCAGATTCCTGGGGCCCTGTCACAGACCTGCGCGGTCAGACTTGCTGGGGGCAGGGCCCGGGATGCTCTATTCTTGCAAGCGTTCCAGTTGGTTGTGACTCAACTAAAGGTGAAGAGCCACCGGTTGCCATATTCCCTCTTGGTGGCAGTGTACCATCTCCTCATCAGGCACCTGACTTTGGGACCCACCTGCCTGGTGATGCCCTATTCGCCCGGGGTCTGGCAGCGTGACCATGACTTGGTGAGAAAGTGATCCAGATGCATCCTCTCCTGAAAGCACATCGGCCTCCCTGCCTTCCTTCCCCCACTATACATCATCGTTGCTATTGTGAATCACTTGTTATGACAAGAATTGTTTGGGGAGGGGCGCCGGGCTGGCTCGGTTGGCCCAGCATGTGACCCTTCATCTCAGGGTCATGAGTTCAAGCCCCATGTTGGGCGCAGACCTTACTTTTTAAAAAGAAAAAAAGAAAAAGAACTGCTTGGGGATTAACAATAAATGGAGAGTATCAACAGTAAGACTAATCACCGACGCTTACTGAGCACTCATGAATGCTTGTGTGCTAAGTGGTTTTTATGGTATTAAATTAATCGAACCCACATACCACCACCATGAGGCAGGCGCTATCACTACCTCCACTTTACAAATGAGAACACTGAGGCACAGAGAGGTTAAGGAAGTCACCTGAGGTCAGACATATGGTAAATGAGATTTGAATCCAGACAATCTGACTCCAGAGCCCAGGCGATTATGTGCTATGCTGTACTACTTCACTAAATTAACTGCCCTGTGCTTGATATTACTAATTTAAAATATATGTAATAATATTGATATTTATTCCATTTAGTGTCTTTGTTATTTTATTTGGGTAAATGTACTTATCAGGGAAACCTGAAACTCTTTGGTTCCCCTGAGGTTTTCCAGCCACAAATTCTAGCATGAGAGTCTGCAGCAAACTAACCATAACAGTTCGGGTGCGTTTGCCTTGTCCTCAGAGGCCAGCTTTCCAGGCAATAGCACGAACAGAATCTATTTCAATTGTTTACCCTATCTTTGTATTTCCCCATGTCTCCAAGAGTCAGAAGCTCTGTCTATGGACTGGTTTCAACATGGAGGCTCCACTCCTTGAATGTTTGGATTAAACAGATTCCCTGCTTCCGGGACAGAATGAAGTCCCGTGAGATGAGATGGGCAAAGTATTCTGAGGACTTCTCAAATGGTATGCTTAGTATGAGATACTACATTTTTTAAAATTAATTATTTATTTTAAGCAGGCTCGATGCCCAGTGTGGGGCTGGAACTCATGACCCCGAGATTAAGAGTCACACGCTCTACTGACTGGGCCAGCCAGGCGCCCCTGGGATACAACATGATAAACTGCCTCTTCTTTAATCTTTTAGATAAAATGAAGTTTAAAATAACCAATGTTAGGGGCGCCTGGGTGGCTTAGTCAGTTAAGTGTCTGCCTTTGGCTCAGGTCACGATCCCAGGGTTCTGGAATCAAGCCCCACATCGGGCTCCCTGCTTGGCGGGGAGTCTGCTTCTCCCTCTCCCTCTGGTGCTTGCTCTGTCAAATAAATAAGTAAAATCTTACAAAAAAGTAACCCATTTTGAAATATAGTTCTGACATACACTACCACATGGATGAACCTTGAAAATATAATGCTAAGTGAAAGACGCCAGATACAAAAAAGGACAAATACTGTGGGATTCCACTTACACGAGGTACCCAGAAGAGGCAGATTCAGAGAGACAGAAAAGTAGAAAAGAGGTGACCAGGGGCTGGGGGGAATGGGAACTTAGTGCTTAACGGGCACAGTTTCTATCTGGGATGATGAAAAAGTTCTGGAAATCGTGACAATGGCTGCACGACACTGTGAATGTACCTAATGCCATCGAGCTGTGCATTTAAAAATGGTCAAAATGGCAAATTTTATGTTTTGTGTATTTTACCAAACTCTTTACAAATCCCATAGCCTCCCAACAAAAACCAATTTCAAACTTCACTGGAATCAGGGCTTACCAGAGTATCATCGTTCTGGTCTCCAAACATTTCTTTAAAAATCTTGCCAGGATCAGGAATTGGAGGGAATATAATGATCTTGAGCCTTTAAGAAAACAGAGACATTTTTTGATCAAATCCTCCAGCCCAAAGGAACGCCCCACTTAAAAAAAGCCACATTAAAAGTAGACTTGGACTAAAGACATGGTATAGAAGTCATCTTGAATGACGAAGCGGCTGTGAAGAAATTTCACAAGAAGCTGAGAAACCGATGTCCTGAGAGCACCCAGTATGGGCAGACCAAAGGGGCCATCAGGGGAAACAGACTGCTCATACCCTATCATTTTTAAAACTTTTTTTCCAGCTTTATTGAGATATACTCAACAAATAAAAATCATCTATATTTGAGATGAACATGGTGCTCTGATATATGTAGACATTATGAAATGATGACTACAATCCAGCGAATTAACACATCCATCACCTCACATGGTTATGACTCTGTGTGTGTGTGTGCACGCACATGCGTGCAGGCATGTGCACTCACCCCTATTATTTAAATAATAATGGTGCTTTACTCATCAGAGACCTGATGGGGGCTTACTGCTTATAATTTTGAAAAAAATAATCTTCTGAGAACAGGGTACATTCTTCTTCAATTTTTCTTTCTTCTTCTCCCCCTGTCCATCTTTGTACCTTAGAGTACCCTTTGGTGGCCCCACCTCATCTCCTGGGCCCTAAACGTTGGTGTGGCCCAGGGCTCTGTCCTTCGCCCTCCATCCCACTCGCTCTGCGAGTGATCTCTTCCAGTCTTAGGGCTTCGGGTCTGTTTACATGCCGAGGGCTCCCCAAATTCGATCTCCGGCCCAGACCTCTCCCTTGTACTCCAGGTTCATCACACAACTAACTACCCATTTAACGTCTCTACTTGGGTATCTACTAGGCATCTCGAACTTCCGTTCAGACCTGAAGTCCTCACCTTCGCCCTACAGCCAGTGCTCCTCGCAAATCTTCTCCATCTCAGCAAACGGCTCCCGCGTTCACTCGAGTTGCTGAAGCCCCAAGTCTGAGCACTCCTTGAACCCTCAGTACCCGCCTCAGACCTCCATGGACGGATGAGCAGCTTTCAGCAAGTACCCTCAGTTCGCCCTTCCAAATACATCCCGCCTCTGACCGAATCTTACCGACTCCGCTGCTAACTTCCTAGGTTAGGCCGCCCTCACCTCCCCCCCGCTCACCTTCCCCCCCCCGCCCCGCCCCCCACTGCAAGGCCTCCTCCTTGGCCTACCCGCTGCCATTCTTGTGCAAGCCAGTTCTTCGTTCAGCAAGTGAGGTGACCTTTTATGACAGTACAATCAGGTCATGGCCCTTCCCTGCTTAAAACTCTCCAATGGGTCCCCGTCATGCTTAGGAAAAAAAAAAATCTCAGTTCCTTGCCACGGCCTAAGGGAGCTGGCTCTGGCCTCCGCTCCGGCCTCCGCTCCCGTGGCTCTCTGCTGGCGTGCACAGAGCACCATCCAATCACACGCAACTCGCTGAAGCGTTCTTTCCCACAGCTTTAAGCTGCAACCTGCTCTGCAGTAATACTAGCCGGGTCATTTATGGCCAAAGTGCTCCTGATACCCGGGCCAAACACCCAACACCCTCACAGAGTAGTAACTGGAGCCCGCAGGTTAGCAGAAACTGCCAGGCCAACCGGGGCCGCGGCCTCACCTTTTGAGATAAAGCAGAAGAACTATGATTGCGCCCGCAACAATGACCGGAGTGGCGAGCAACATGCTTATGTAGAACGTGGGGTCGGTGTTCTTACCTGGCAAATTGGAAAGCAAACACAAAACGTGAGCAATCAACCCCTCTGAGAAAAAAACACCAAGCAACGGTTGGCTCAAACTAGCGAGATCACAGACATGTCTGCGCTCCGCCCCAACCTACTTTCCAAAACTCTTCGATTATCTTATCTTCTGCTCCCTTAATCGTGAACAACACAGTCCCGCTCTAGGGCCTAAAATGCCGCGCGGATGAATAAACACCTTGAGGGTTATCCGATATCAGGATATCTTAACTAGTTTTTGGACACTATTCACAATGTTAGACCTGTTAAAAAAGGTCATCTCATTAACAGTGACTACCTTTTATTGGTTACTTACCACTATTAGAACATGTATTAAATTAACCCTAACTACCACTCCTTCTTAACTGAGCATCTACTATATACGTGATACCATCCCAAGGGCTTGTACATGTTCGTGTCTATGCAATAGAGATACGTAATAGTATCTCCCATTTATACAGATGAGAAGGACAAGGCTCACAGGGGTCCAATGGCTCATCCAGAAGGGTTTCGGAAGTGATGCCATCAAGCCTCAAATCCGACACTGTCCGAAAAGTTCCAGAGCTTTTTAACTGCCTTGCTATACCTCACATACAGAATGTCATGCCTACTTATAGGCTCATCTTTTCCACTAGGGCATGACCATCTAGAAAGCAACATCAGGGCCTAGCATCATTGTGTTAGCCTCTAAGGTGACCCCAGATGATCCCTGCCTCCTGATATTCACACCCTTATGTAATCTCCTCCCCTTGAGGGTAGGCTGGACTGACTGTTGTTTGTAAAGAACTGAATAGCAGCGCTGACGTCATTTCCAAGATTAGGTTATAAAAGACTGTGATTTCCACATGGGTGTTCTCTCACACACTCTTGCTTGGGTCACTTACTTTAGCAAGCTAGCTGCCATTTCATGAGGCAGCCCCCTGGGGAGGCCCAAGGGGCAAGACACCGAGGGAGGCCTCTGCATTAGCCCCCTAGGGCTGCTGTGGCAAACCACCACACACCAGTTGGCTTAAAACAGGCATGTATTCTCTCACAGTTCTGGAGCCTGGAAGTCCAAAATCAAGGTATCCACGGGGACATGCTGCCTCTGAAGGCTCTAGAAAAGATCCCTCCTTGCTTCTTCTTAGCTTCTGGTGGCCCCCAGGAATCGCTGGTGTTCCTGCGTCATTCCTGATGGCTGTAGTTGCATCACTCCATTCTCTGCCTCCATCCTCACAGGGCCTTCTTCCCTGTGTGTCTGTGTGTCTCTCGGTGTTTCCGTGTATCCTCTCTTCTTACGAGGGTACTAGTCATTGGATTTAGGGCCTACTCTAAGACAGTGGGACCTCATCTTAACTTGATGACATCTGCAAAAACTCTATTTCCAAATACAGTCACATTCACAGGTATAGGAGTTGGGACTTGAATGTATCTTTTTGAGGGATATGATTCAACCTGCCACAGCCTCCATCCAGCAGCCAGCAAGGAATGGAGGCTTTCCAACGACCACAAAAGTGAGCCTGGAAGTGGGTTCTCCAGCCCTAGTCAAGCCTTCAGATGAGGCTGCAGGCCCAGCCAACAGCTTGACTGTAACCCCACGAGAGAACTTGGGCCAGAGGTACTGAGCTAAGCGGGGCCCTGATTCCTGACCCACAGGAACTATGAGATGGTAAATATGTATCTTTTAAGCCACCAAGTATTGAGGTACTTTGTTATGCAACAATTCATAACTAATACAACCATGCCTGGCCCATAGCTTGTTCGGTCCCTCAATTAAGAGGGTTCGGACTGCCTACCTCAATGATCTGTTTCTCTGACCGTTAGAGAGCTATTAGAAGGTTCTGCAGTTGGTCCTATTTTGCCCCGTGGAGCCACGAAAGAAAATAACCTATTCCCTCTTCTACCTAACAAAAGCCCAAATATTAGAATTCCGCAATCAGGACTCCTCACCCCTGAGCTTGCTTCATCAACCACTCCCCCCAAAGTTTTGAGATTCTTTCACATCCTATTACCCCTTTCGTGGATAGATTCCAGTCTGCCACTGAACCTCCTAGGGTGTTGTGCCCAGAATCGAATACCGCACACTTGTGAGGTGGTTGGGACACTGCATCCCCACCCCGTAGCACTCCCTTGTTCTGGGTGCTACACCCTCACTGCGGCCTATGGCTGCATATGCCTTTGGGGGATATTTAAGTCAATGCTGAGTCACTCTGAGCTTACAGTTCAATAAAACCCTATGCCCCCACCCCACCACACACACACACACACACACACACACACACACACACGCACACACACATCCATAAAGCATAGGTCTTTCCAATCCTGTACTTGGGCCTGACACACAGTTTGCTCAGCCACTCCATTAATAAATGAAACTGTCGTTTTCAAACCTAGATAGAGTTTGATCTCTATTAAATGACATCAAGGTCACTGTTCTACTCTCGATTCTGTCACCAGCACACAGGCTAGCCCTCTAGCATTGCACAATCTGCAGATTTAATCGTGCCTGCCTTCAAGAAGATGGAGACAGGACAGAAGAGAGAATAACACCTTTTGGACTGTGGATTTTCAAAGAGCTGTACATTGTGAATTGAACCTGGGTGATTTGACAGTAATTAAACAGAAAACACAGTTCAGTTGTAGATATTCTCTGGATGACATCAGTAATGCAGGACAACCCCTCACCCCAGTCTCTTTTCTGCTTCAGCTCAGTCCCCGTGCATCGGTCGCTTACACTGTGATGAAGCCCGGTTTCGCTTACCTATACTCATCACTTGACTCCAGTTGCTCCAGAGTTTGTCATCCTCATAGCATAACTTATTTGTTCTGACTCTTATTCTGACTGTGTTCAAAGTATCAGGAAGAACACCGGGGACCATGAAACAAATTGTACCCTTAGATATAAAATAAAAACACACAAGGAATGTTATCAGCTTATTCTCTTTCTCCGCCTCTGAATCCTAAATACAATTATCTGACAAATTCCATATATGATTAAGACTTGGACTGCAGTCCAAATTATCTGACTTTAACTCAACTAACAATTGGCAATAACCCAGAGAATAAAGGAGTCTGTTTTTCTCAAAGCAGTTCAAATTTAGGCTATGGTCGCCCTGCCCCACCCCCAATTATTCCATGACTTTAAGCCCAAATAGCTAAAGTTGAGTTTACTGACCTCCAGGTTTCCCTCAAATTCTGAATTCTGACATTTGGCCTCTTCAACCTTGAAGATATAAAAAACAAATAAATTCAAAAAATTTAAGAGACTACTTTATATCATTTAACCATTTCTAACAAAGTTCCCTTTTATCCCATCAAAAGAGGACCAGGTGCAGTGAAAGAAGGCTGGGTTTTTTTGTTTTGTTTTGTTTTAATAAGTGGTGCTGGGTCAATTACATATCCATACAGGAAAAAAAAGAATCTTGACCCCTACACCTCAGGCTATTTATGAAGTCATTTCCAGATGGATTGCAGATCTAAATGTGAAAGTTAAACTGAACAAACAAATACATAAATACAGCAAGATTTTAGAAGAAAATGTAGAACATCTTCATGACCTTGAAGATTTCTTAAATAAAACCAAAAAATATTAACCCTAAAGGAAAAATTGTTATGAAGTCATCTATACTAAAATTGCAAACTTCTTCTGTTCATCAAAGATATCCTATTAAGGAAATAAAAAAAAAAAGTCATGTATAGAGTGAGAGAAGCTATTTGCAATTCCTGACAAAGGACTTGCATATATACATATAATATATGTATATTCCATTTATATATAATACGTACACACATATATACCTATATCCCACCAATTAATAAGGAAAAGACAGACAACCCAACAGAAAAACTGGCAAAGGATATGAACAGGCATTTCACAAGAGGGTATTCAAATCGATAAGGAACATGTGCAAAAGTGCTCAACTTCATTAGTTCTCAGGGAAATGCAAATTAAATCCACAAGATAACAATACACACACCTACCAGACAATACCAAGTGTTGTTGAGGATGTGAAGCATCTAGCACTCTCAATTTCTGCTCTTAGTAGTGTAAACTGGCACAACCATTTGGGAAAAGTCCTATTATCTATTAGAGACAATCCTACGTAAGCCTCTGAGCCACACATGCCCCCCAGAAATGTATGCACACGCACACCAAGAGACAAGTAGGCAATGTTCATAAAGGATCTATTCATAAAACCCCAAGCTGGAAACTATCCAAATGTCCGCCAAAGGGAGAATGGAGAAATCAAATGTGACATAGCGACAGGATGGAATGAATGCAATGAGAATGAAACACTGACAACTGCAGGCAACAATATCTGTGACTCTGTAACATTGAGTGAAAGAAGACAGACACACACAAAAAGGAAACTCTGGGCGCGCCTGGGTGGCTCAGTCGGTTAAGCAGCTGCCTTCAGCGCAGTGCGTGATCTTGGGGTCACGGGGTCGTGGGATCGTGGGATCAAGGCCCCGCATCGGGCTCCCTGATCTGCAGGCAGTCTGCTTCTCCCTCTGCCCCTACCCCACGTTTGTGCATGCGTGCTCTCTCTCAAGTAAATAAAATCTTAAAAAAAAAGTAAATTTTGTATACTTCATTTATATAAAGTTCAGAAAGAGGCAACAAAACTAATCTATGGGATTAGAAGTCAGACTAACAGTTGTTCTTTGGAAGGGTAGTGACCAAAAGGGGTCACAATGGGGCTTCTGAGGTGCTGGTTACATAAGTGAAAAATCATTTGCAAAAATCACTTGTGAAAAAAATCACTGAGCACTACATAACAACTCGTGTGATTTTTCTATTGGACACTATATGTCAATCAAAAGTTAAAAAAACAGGGGCGCCTGGGGGGCTTAGTCAGTGAAGCATCTGCCTTCGGCTCAGATCATGATCCCAGGGTGCTGGGATGGAGCCCCGCGTCGGGCTCCCTGCTCAGTGGGGAGCCTGCTTCTCCCTCTCCCTCCGCCCCTGCTCCTGCTCTTTGTCTCTCAAGCATGCTCTCTAACAAATAAATAAAATCTTAAAAAAAAAAATGTTAAAAAAACAGTCTCCCTTGTTGAGAGTATAATATATCAAAAACAACTGGGTTAGAGAAGATAGTATAATGCAAAATTCTCATCCACACAATTTAAGTCATTTGCTGTCTGATGGAAAGAGAAAGATCAGTTCCTAAAATGCAAATATTTCAAAACTGGAGCAAAAAATCAACACATGAAAATCTGTTGCTTAGTATAGTCTACTTCTGGCCAACAGGTTATATGAAAAGATGTTCAACATCACTAATCATCAGAGAAATGCAAATCAAAAACACAATGAGGTATCACCTCATACGTGTTAGAATGGCCATCATCATCGAAAAGGTAAGAGATAACAAATGCTGGTGGCAAGGGTGTGGAGAGAAGAAAACCCTCGTGCCCTGTTGGTGGGAATGTGAATTGGTACAGCCACTATAGAAAACAGTATGGAGCTTCCTCAAAAAGTTAAAAATAGAAATACCAGCATAGGGAATATAGTCAATAATACTGTGATAACACTGTATGGTGACAGATGGTGACACTTATGGTGAGCACTGGGAAATGTACGGAATTGTTGAAAAAATATGTTGTACACCTGAAACTAACACCATATGTCAATTATACTTCAATTAAAAAAAATACCATATGATTCAGTAACTCTACTACTGGGTCTCTGAAGAAGATGGGGGCGCCTGGGTGGCTCAGTCGGTGAATCCTCTGACTCTTGGTTTCAGCTCAGGTCATTATCTCAATGGTTGTGGGATGGAGCCCCGCATCAGTGGGGAGTCTGCTTAAGATTCTCTCCCTCTTACTCTCCCCTCACACACGTGCTCTCTCTCTAAAATCAATCAATCAATCTTTGGGAAAAAAAGAAAATGAAAACACTAATTTGAAAAGATACACGCACTGCTGGGGTGCCTGGGTGGCTTAGCTGGCTAAGTGTCCAACTCTTGATTTCGGCTCTGGTCATGATCTCAGGGTTGTGAGATCAAGCCCCGCGTCGGGCTCTGCACTGGGTGTGGAGCCTGCTTGGGATTCTCTCTCTCCCTCCGCCCCCTGTCCCCGCTCATGTGCTCTCTCTCTAACAAAAAGAAAGAAGAGGAAAAAAGAAAGAAAAGATACAATATATACACACCCCTATGTTTGCTGCAGCGTTATTTATAATAGCCAAGATATGGAAATAAGCCAAGTGTGCACTGACAGATGAATAAAGATGTGGTGTATATATATAACGGAATATCATCCAGCCATGGGAAAGAAGGAAATCCTACCATTTGTGACAACATGGATGAAACTCGAGGGCACTGTGCTAAGTGAAGTAAGTCAGAGAAAGACAAACACTCTATGACCTCCGTTAAACGTGGAATCTAAAATGAGCTCCTAGAGGCAGAGAGTAGAATGGTGGTTGCCAGGGGCTGGGTGATCGGGGCAAATGGGGAGATGCTGGGCAAAAGGGTACAAACTTCTAGTTGTAAGTTCTGGGGATCTCATGTACAGCGTGGTGATTATAGCTAACACTACCACATTGTATACTTGAAATCTGCTTAGAGAGTAGATCTTCAGTGTTCTCACCATTTAAAAGAAGGTAACGGTGTGATGCGATGGATGTGTTAATTAGCATGATTGTGGTAATCATCTCAGAAGACATATATATTAAGTCATCACGTTGTACACCTTGAAAATAATCACACTGTACAACCCAAATATATATGGTTTTACTTGTCAACCGTACCTCAATAAAGCTGGAACAAACAGCCAGCTTCTTTCAAAGGGACGTTTAAACATGAGACGAAGGCCAGAACACACAGCTCTGATTTTTGTCCTTGAATGTTATTTACTAAATGGTCCCTAGCCGCATCTGTGAGGAGCTGAAAGGCCAACTGAATGACGAAGAGCATCCTACTGATGCTTCCTATACGGCAGAGAAAAAGCCACTTGGGAATCAGAGGCCTGGAGGGGAATCCCAAGTACCAACTAGCGCTTGAGGGATCAGGCTGCAGGTTCCTGTCTCCCTCCCCTGGGCCATCTCCCAGATGCGTGTCCGTTCCCAAACTGGCACATCAGTGTGTAAACTGAAGGTTCTGGGCTCCTGTTCAAATGTAAATTCCCTTGCACAGTTTATCGGCGGCTCACATAACTCTATGAGGAAAGGAAAACAAGGGCACAGAGGGCCAAGTAGATCGAGCGTGTGTGGAAAAGCGGGCTGCTCAAAAGTCGGTCATCGCTTTGTGATTCTGTCATGAGCCACCCCTGACCAGAGCCCCCCTGTGACAGCACCAGTTCATGTCCCAGCCAACTTCCCCCTCTTAACTGCAACACCAGGCAAAAGGATTCCTCAAAAAAAATCTTGCAAAAAGGGGGAAAAAAAAAAAGGTCTAGCCAGCAGAGCTCAAAATCAGTGAGCACACAAAAAGCTGATGACATTTTAGGAGAGGAAGCAGCTGGTGAACATCTGCTAGGAGAAAGAACATTCAACTCAAATGTACAAACAGAGTTAATTCCAAATAGACTACGGTTTGGATTCAGGAGGATAAATTCCATAGTACGTACATTCTCTTCAGTGCGGAAGTTTGTGGGGAAAAAAAAAGGTAACTCAGTTCAACAAGAGTTTCTTTTCTTTTCTTTTTTTAAAGATTTATTTATTCGACAGAGAGAGACACAGCGAGAGAGGGGACACAGGCAGGGGGAGTGGGAGAGGGAGAAGCAGGCCTCCCACCCAGCAGGGAGCCCGACACGGGGCTCGATCCCAGGACCCTGGGATCATGACCCGAGCCGAAGGCAGACGCTTCACCAACTGAGCCACCCAGGCGCCCCTCAACAAGAGTTTCCTAAGTGAGGACTATGCACATGGTGTCAGACCAAACGCTCTCGGTCAAAGTTTAATACGTGAAGACCAAACTTTGAATACATAAAGACCAACTTATCAGCTGTGTGGCCTGCGGCAAGTGACTTTACCTCTCTGAGCCTTAGTTTCTCAAAAAAATACAGGTTAAGATAGAAGCATTTCATGGACTGTTAGAGGCTATTGTAGAAGTGCCTGGAAGAGGATCTGTGCAGCGCATCATAAACACCAAGTGACGGCCGGGACAGTTAAGAGGAAGTACTGAGGTGGCCCCCGGGGTTAGGGACACAAGCTTTAGAGTCAGACCTGCTGAAATCTTGGTTCTACCACTTACCTTAGGAGTAAACCTCTGAGATTGCCTTTTTCTCATCTGTGAAACCGGAACAAAAGCACGGGCCCCAGGATCCTCAGGGTTACCGTGAGGACTATACGAGACAGCTGAGATAAGGTGCTTATGAAAATGCCTACTCCATAGTAATCGCTCCATCCACGTCAGCCGCTATTAGCAGGAGCCACACAAAGTAAACACCACTACCTACTAACTCCTCCCTACGGGAGCTTTTATTTTTAGTTGGGACACAAGGCCTGCCCATGTGATCAGGGGAACCAGCAGGACATAATTCAGTGCCAAGTGAGTAATATAAGCAGCATGGTGTCTCAGGATTTCAGACAGAAGAGAGCAGTAAAGGCTGGAGTAGTCATTCTGACAGCTGACTTCGTTGTAAATGCAAGCCTCACCTTCTCCCCACGTGGAAGCCCTCTGCTTTTTCCCTTTGCAGTACCATATGGGGACACCGGTTTCTGGTATGGAGAGTGACTATTCTATTTCAGCAAACAGATTCACCTGTGATTGCCCAGAAAAGCTCTGGTCAGCTGTGGACCTGGGCACTCCCTCTGGGGTTACAGCCTGTCAACGCTGGCTCTAGTATTTTGAAACTCCCATGGTAAGCTAAAACAACTGGACCAAGGAATTTGTCCATGTGCGAGATGTGGGGCTCCTTTAAAAGCCAATATAAAACCCTTGGTCTCGAACTTCTCCAACGCCAATGCACCCCGGGGCCTGGGGTGGCTGGCACGCCAGTGACCAGCACAGTCCCTGTAGTCTTGAGGTGCCACCTTATGGAAACTACACTCCCCAGGGACCACGGTATTTAAATCTGGGCAAAAATTTTCGAATTTAAGCAAAAGCCCACTTGGTTTGTCGTTCAGACAAAGGCGTTGAAGGCCCGAGTGTGTGACCTCTACCGTAAAGCGGAACAACAGGACCGATGCTCCAAAGTTACACCACATCCTGTTATGCCCAGTGGCCCACAGGGACCTCTCATTAGTATGTTTTGTACTAGATTCCCAACGGCGTAAATGTACCAAATCCAACAACTACAGGCTACTCAAATTTGACAACTCTAGTTGCCACGAACTCCAAGACCATGGAATGGCCACCACCAGAGCCTCAAAGTATCTACCGGATCGGACCCCGGCCTCCTGCTTACATGTCTTTCCCTACTCTATTTTGGCCACACCAGTTTCCTTTCTGTCTCCCACACATGCCAAGCTCATTCTTGCCTCAGAGTCTTTGTACCTGCTGTCCCCTCCACCCCCAGATCTTCACATGGCTAGCCCCTGCTTGTCACTCTGGTCTTATCTCAAATGTCGTCACTTCGGATGATGACCCAACCTCATATTCCCGCAGGCCCTCCCATCATGCTACTACATGACCCATTTGATTTTCTTCATAGCATTCATGCTCTGAAATTAGCTTGCTCATTTACATATGTACTTCCTAGCAGGTAGGCTTCACGGGAAAAACAGACCTTTTCGTCAGGGTCATGTGCACATAAAACAGTGCCTGGCACGTGGCAGATATGTAAAAAAAATTTGTTCAGCAAATGAATTGATGAATGGCTTGAATCTTACAGCTAAAGCTCCTACCATAAACCATCAAACCTTCCACCATGCCCTATTTCAGACAAGAAATTTCATCATCACCATCGTCACCATCAGGTGACAAATCTAAGAGCTACATTTCACTGATGTTTCCACTTCTTACCCAACAAGAAATTCAAGTAAAAGAAAAATACCCAAATAAAATCAACTAGCTAGGAAAAACTTACGTAGAAAATATCATTTGTCTCTGTTTGGCTGTTATTGACTTCTACTTGATAAGATAAACATCTGCTGTAAAAATTCTGTGGATTCTTCCATTGCACATACAAGTTACCATTTTGGAAGAAGAGACGTTTAATATGTGGGGGATCAGGTTTCACTGAAAGACAGAAACAGAAGAACACAAATTAGCTTCCAGAGTATTTGTGATGAGGTTCATATACAGGTAGACATAATGAAGGTCACGATTAATGTAGAAAGCTTATTTTAAACTGCTCATAAAATGGATCCAAAGAATATCTCTGGGCTGTCTGGCAGATGAAGTGAACTCTGACCTGCATCGATCCAGTGAGAACACAGCTGGGGTATAATCAGGATATCCAGCTGTGACACAGAGAATAAAGAAAAGAAGCACTTGGGTCCAGATGTGCATCCACCTAATGGATAATGAGGGGCACCAGGGGTTTCCTCAGCTGCCACTCACTTGTGTCAATCAAAGACCACAATTAAAACATTAGCCTAGTCTCTGTCACATACTGCAACATGGACAAACCTCAAGGACATTAGACTAAGTGAAATAAGCCCATCATAAAAGGATAAACACTGTAGGATTCCACCCGTATGAGGGATCTAAAATAGTCAGAATCATAGAAACAGAAAAGAGAAAGCTGGTTACGAAGGGCTACGGGAGGGGAAATTAGTGTTTAGGAGGCATCGAGTTTCAGTTTTAAAAGATGAGAAAGTTCTAGAGATCTGTTGCACAACAATGTGAATATACTTAACATTACTGAACTGTACACTTAGAAATGGTTACGATGGGAAATCTAATGTTATGTGATTATAACCACAATTAAGGTAAAAAAAAAATTAGCCTAGTCAATTTAGTTTTTCAGGAGTCAACTACGCTTCAGACTAAGTGACAGAAGAGAGTGGAAGATGAGCAGAACACAACTCGAAAATATCATCTTCCAGCTGAGAAGGATCTCCCTTTATGTCGCCACTAATCTCCAGGAAGAAGAAGAGCAAAATGAGCTTTAAAAGGTCCACCGAGGGGGCGCCTGGGTGGCTCAGTCGTTAGGCGTCTGTCTTCAGCTCAGGCCATGATCCCAGGGTCCTGGGATCGAGCCCCACGTTGTCGGGCTCTCTGCTGGGCGGGAAGCCTGCTTCTCCCTCTCCCACTCCCTGACTTGTGTTCCCTCTCTCTCTGTGTCTCTCTGTGTCAAATAAATAAACAAAATCTTTAAAATAAAATAAAAGGTTCACCGAGGACAATCCACCAAGCAAGGGGGAGGACAGCAAAGGGCTTTGCTTCAGATTATCCCACTTGGCAAGTTACCACGACCTCACTCCCCCGGCCTTCGGTCCACAATTAGAATTCACTTGCGTGACTATCTGAAGGGGTGGCAAATAGTGTTCTGCTCCCAGACTTGGGAACCTTTGTCAACTCATGGTTATGTGCCTATGAATTTTCTGTATACCACTTTACCAGAATCTGCGCTCCCTGTTGGGATTTTACAAGAGGTAAATAAACACGATGCTTATAGTAGTAGTCTGCTTTAGAGATTTACAAAATACTTATATACCTCACATCATTTGGAACTTCAGACAGTCCTCTGAGGTCAAGAGGGACTACGGACCCTGTTTTACAGATGAGGAAACAAAGAGAGTTTATATGCTTTGTCCAAAGTGAAGACCTAGGAGCTCAAGCAGATACTGTGTTTTCAAGTTGAGGCCTCTTTCTAATAGGCCAACATTTGGCTGCGTTGGCTGTTCTGAGTGGTCGGGGCCTACGCCACCCGACACGTTAGCTAGTTTGAATCATTTCCGATCGCTCCTCCTCCAGTCAAAGCCTTTTTTCAACTAAGAGAAAGATTATTCAGGAACCATATTTGATTTTATTCTGCAGCATCATCCTCTCGAGCATCATCAGTAAAAGAGAACAGATCTTAAGAGTCAGAGAGCCTGGTTCCAGTCTCGGTTCTACAACTGACTGCGTGTTCGAAGTCTTGGCACACTCAGAAGCAAACAAGAGCAAAGCATGTGCACATATACTCAAGAAACATTAGAATTTCCAAGCCTGCTGCTTTAAAAAAAAATCAAATAAAGGTATACATAAATACAGTCCTTTTTTTTTTTCTGGGAAAATCTTAAAACCAAAGTCATCCCTTTTTTATTCTCTGTATTGACTGTTCGAAAGACGTAACACTTTTATCCACACTGTTGTACAGGACTTCTAAAACTTACCATGAGAAGTTAAAGGCACTATATTGAAGGATGGTCTAATTTTTCCTGCATTATCCTTGACCACTATTTGGACACTGTGTTGCTCAAAACTGGAATCCTTCAAATTAGTCAGAGCAAAGGAACAACCAATGTGTTGACCTTCCCTATAGATGTCTTCACATTGAAGAATTTTTCCCAGGCTGCTGTGCCTGCAAGATATAATGAGACAACCTTCTGGATTATTTTTCACAAGGTGTTCAGGAAACAAAGGCAGACGTTTGTTTTCTTTTAAATGGCTGAAGAGGACCATGAAAGGCAACATTTGCAATATGGGAAGATAACTTTTCTTAAAACCCTATTTTATAATGTGGCTCCGTTTCATACTCTAGGAAGAAACGAATGTTCCTTTTTGATGAACACTGGTACTTTCTTCTTTTTTTTTTTTTAAGTAAGCTCTACACCCAATGTGGGGCTCGAACTCACGACCCTGAGATCAAGAGTCACCCAGCCAGGCGCCCCAAACACTTGTATTTTCTTTCTTTCTTTTTTTTGTTTAAGATTTTATTTATTTGTCAGAGGAAGAGACAGAGAGCGCACAAGCAGGGGGAGTGGCAGGCAGAGGGAGAGACAGGCTCCCCGCGGAGCAGAGAGCCCGATGGGGGCTCGATCCCAGGACCCTGGGGATCATGACCTGAGCCGAAGGCAGACGCTTCACTGAATGAGCCACCCAGGCGCCCCAACACTGGTGCTTTCATTAGCTATGGAAACTACAGGAGCCCTGACTCCTTTTCGTCTTCTGTATGAAAGATGTTATGAGGCCAGCATGAGAAGTTTCGGGCTTCTTGAAAATGCGTCATCTGCTGAATTCCATGGTTCTCCTCTGGCCCTTCTGCCTGCCTGCCTCGTTTTCGTGGCTTCTCCTCCCTTTCCCCTTTTCAGAGGGTTCACATTCGGTCCTCCGCCCTCTGCACTTTCCTCTCTACCGCTTCCTCCCTCATCCATTCTCCCCCAGTTTATCACGTCTGTCCCTAGACTAGAATTTCTACACTGGGGATTCCTCGGAGCTGGTCCCAGGTCAACGTCCTTATGCCCTCTCTTCCCTGCCGAACTGCCTGTCTTCTGAACTTCCCCGTTCCCATCGGTCAGAGCGCGTTGTCTCTGGACTCCTTGATTACGGCCTTTGAAATCACCCTTTCCCCCCTCCCCTTTCCCCATATTCTGTCACCAAATTCTGTTACTTCTTCCTTCGCAAAGCTTCTTGGATTCTCTCCTGCGACATTCCTGGAACCCTCACCCTGTTTTGTGCCCTCATCACTTCAGGCTTCATGTCCCTTCCAGAAGGACCTCTCTGACCTCCATAATTAGTGCCCTCTAACCCCTGCCAGATCAACGTTCCAGAACCCAGTGGTTTTCTACGTGTCTTACTCCGGCTGTGGCTTTCGATGCCTTCAATAAGCAGCAATGCTGGCATCTTATTTCCCATCCCGAACCTCTGCACACACCTTTCCCCAGTGAGCATCAGCACCCAGTGCGGTGCGGGTCCACAGAAGGTGCTCGTGACACTTCTCTGTCTAGGGTGTCAGAGGGTTCTGTCTTATAGCAGCTGGCAGAAGCCAGAGTCAAGCCCCACCTCAGCCATAATGGGAGCTGTGCAAAGGTTCTACAGAAAAGGAAGGCAATTTTAAGAATGACCTAACAGTGACGAGTCCCAAACCCTTGACTTATTACCTCCGAGTCATCTGTAGCTGTATAAAATGCAGATTCCTCAAGCCCTCTCCCGGGAATCCTACTTACAGGTTCTGCCCAGGGCCGAGGCATCAGCATTTTGACAGCGATTCTCCAGGGGATTCTTTTGCACATCAGATACTCTCTCATAAATACAGTCAACTGATCTTTGACAAGGGGGCAAAGACAGTCTCTTCAACAAATGTGCTGGAACAACTAGACAGACGTCCACATGCAAAACTGAATCTAGACACAGTCCTTACGCCACTCACAAAACTAAACTCACAGCGGATCACAAACCTAAATGTAAAGTGCAAAACCATAAAACTCTTAGGAGATGACAGAGGGAAAAAGCTAGATGAGCTGCAGTGTGGTGATGACTTTTTGGATACAACACCAAAGACAGGATCTAGAAAAGAAATAATCAGTCAGCTGGACTTCGTTAAAATTAAAAACTTCGGCCCTGCAAAAATCAGTAGTAAGAGGATAAGAAAACAAGCCACAGACCCAGAGAAAATATTTGCAAAAGACACATCTGAAAAGGACTGCTACCCCAAATATACAAAGAATTCTTAAAACAATAAGAAAACAGGCACCTCACCAAAGAAGAAATATAGATGGCAAAGAAGCGTCTGAAAAGATGTTCCACACCATATGTCATCAGGGAAATGCAAATTACAACAAGATGCCACTACACACCTATTAGAATGGCCATGACCCAGAGCAGTGCCACCAGCAAATGCCGGGGGGGCAGGGGGGACGTGGAGCGACAAGCATGCTCTCTCGCTGCTGGCGGGAATGCAAGATACTACAGCCACTCTGGGGGCAGAGTTTGGTAGTTTCTTACAAAACGCCACATACTCTTGCCATACGATCAGCCATCACACTCCCCGGTATTTACCTAAAGGAGTCAAAAACTTATGTCCATGCGAAACGCTGCACACAGATGTTTACAGCAGCTTTATTCGTAACGGCCAAGACTCAGAAGCGACGAAGACATCCTTCAGCAGGTGGATATTTAAACTGCAGTGCATCCAGACAACGGAATATTATTCAGCATGGTAAAAAAGAGGTATCAAGCCAGGAAAAGACACGGAGGAAATGTAAATGCGCATTACGAAGTGAAAGAAGCCAATCGATCTGAAAAGGCTGCATGCTGTAGGATTCCGACCACAGGACCCTCTGGAAAAGGCAGCACTGTGGAGACAATGAAGGATCAGTGCTGTAGGGGCTGCGGAGGGAAAGATGAACAGGGAAAGCACAGAGGAGTTTGAGGGCAGTGAAAATACTCTGTACGAGGAGGCTATGATGACGGACACGTGTCATTATACATTTGTCCAGACCCATAGTAAAGACGACACCAAGAGGGAGCCTGAAGGTAAAGTATGGACTGTGAGTGGTTAGGATGTATCAACGTAGATTCATCAGTTGTGTCAAATGTACCACCCTGGCGGGGGGGATGCAGATAATGGGGGAGGCCATGAATTGTGGGGGCAGAGGGTACACGGGAAATCTCTGTACCTTCCCCTCAGTTTTGTTGTAAATCTAAAACTTCTCTACAAAAATAAAGTCTTTAAAAACAAACCCCAAAACTCAGATCTAATGTATTTACTCCTTCAAAGGCTATGCAAAGAAATATTTAAATACAGAAAATGCAGGGCGCCTGGGTGGCTCAGTCGGTGAAGCATCTGCCTTCGGCTCGGGTCCTGGGATCGAGCCCTGCAGGGAACCTGCTTCTCCCTCTCCCTCTGTTGCTCCCTCTGCTTGTGCTTTCTCTCTCTCAAATAAATAAATAAAGTCTTTTTAAAAAATACAGAAAATGCTCTTGTCCCTTAAGAGATGGTACATAAAGTTTTTCTCCTAGTTGTAGGCCCCTGTGGTTCATGAATGAATACAGTCTTAGAAACTATAGTTTCTAAGTTAGTGCCATGGCTAGTTTTTAGATCAGACAGGCCTGGAATGTTTTCCACCCACACCCAGAAACAGAAACTGAAGAAATTTATGACACTTTTGTTACATAACTTAAAAAAAAAAAACTAGGCAGAAAATTAATTTTTTTCAACCAGTGAAAGGAACTTCTCTAATGGGCAATCTTTTAAGATTCCTTTTTCACTTCTGTACCTTGGGTGTTTCACATACTCTCATGGACCCCAGGTAAGAAATTTTTAAAAACATTTTGTTGTTATAATTTGGACAAAATAACAAAAGGGGAAATATTGGGTTTTGAACAGACAACTTTTGGGGACTTCTTGCAAAATGCTAGATAAGAACCTGGGCCAGAAGGCATTCAGGTGCTTCCTGTGAAGATTCAGACACTGAAATCTTCCACAGAATCACACTATAGACATGAGGAGGAAATGGACAGATTTAAAGACAATTTCCCCAATTCTGAAGATGGTTAATGTGGTAAGAAATTCCCTAAAATTCATTGGCAGAGCTAGTCTGTGGCTACTTTTTTTTTTTTAAAGATTTTATTTATTTATTTTTTTTTTTTGAGAGAGAATACAAGCTAGGGAGAGAGGCAGAGGGAGAGGGGAGAAGCAGACTCACCACTGAGCTGGGAGCCTGACATGGGGCTTGATCCCAGGACCCTAGGATCATGACCTGAGCTGAAGACAGACGCTTAACCGACTAAGCCACCCAGGTGCCCCTAGTCTGTAGCTATTAAGGTCAGGCTCCTTTCAATGCCAGACTAGCCCTGCAGAACCACAAGTCATTGCCCTGGGGCTTCAAAGTGATTCCAGTTTCTGACTGGGGAGTAGGGAAACAGTCTCCGGCAGTTCGTTTGACATGATTTAAACTGGTACCTAAACCAGTTCCAAGTGCTTCATAATGAACGAGCCAAGCATCTGCCTTTCTTTTGTGGTTTTGATTGGAAAGGATCTCTCTAGGGGAGGACAGGGGTAGAGGAGGTAAGGACTAGCTGCTAATTCTTCCAAGTGGGGTAAGAAGCCACCGATGCATACCAGCTACATCTACAAGGGAGTGGGGATGAATAATAGTAATAAAAAAAAAATATAGCTCTCACACACTGATCACTTACTCTGCATGTGTTAGCAGTTGGGCACAGCTCCAAATATTTCTCACCCAATAACAGCCCTTACACCAACCTTAAGAGGTAGCACTAATATTACTATGCCTATTTAACAGAATAATCTGTTAAAAGAATAAGCTGCGGAGTGCCGAGGGCAGAAGAATATAGAATCTGTACCAGCACTGTCCAAGGAAATTTTCTGGGATTACGGAAATGTTTGCTATCTGTGCTGTCGTCCAAGGCAGGAGCCACTAGCCACGTGTGAAAGTGACCAGTAAGACTGAGCAATTGAAGTTTTAATTCGACTTAATTTTAATTAATTTAAATTCGTATCTAAGCAGTCACGGGGGAGTTGTGGCTTCTGTATCGGACAGCACAGGTCATATGTACTACAGAAAGAGTCCACGCTGATGACCGATGCTGGGAACACGCATGACAAGAAGTGGTGTCCCTGACCCCTGCCCCCTCGGGCACCAGTGAACCACCACTCTCTTGGGATGGCTTTGTGAGCCACCCCCAACGGCTGCAGGTTATACTCTGCACAGTGGCATCAACTGAGGGCTGATAGCCAGCCCAAGCACCATCTGCTCTCAGCTTTGGCAAGATGCTGCATCAGCCCAGAGGAAGAGGAATCTTTCAGCCCAGAGGAAGAAGAATGCTTGTTCCAATTGGTGGGTCCAATTTTTTTTTATAATTTATTCACCCAGAGGGGGCGCAGGTTTTGCGATTGGCACAAAGACTTGTTTTGTGCCAGTACACGCCTCCGGGCACTTCCCTATCTTTGGCTCAGAAGAACTCCAAGGACTGGACCACTGTTCGCCTCCAGCACCGCCCTGACTCCTGTATCTGATTGCTTTCCGGCACAGGTGGCCATGGAATGAGGGACGGTTTTCATGCTTTTCCTTCCTTCCCCTGCACCTTCTATAGACACAGATTCTAAAGGTTTTCCCTGTGATTTTACCAATAACTACTCCAGGGAAAGCAAGAGAAGTTAACAGCATAATAAACACAGGGATGCTACCAACTTCTAAGACATCTTAAAAGCCTGTACTAACAGCTCTCCCCAGACTTCACTGCGACGTCTTCCGAGCCAGGCTACTCCTTTTAAGGCTTAGTCCTCTGGCCCCTTCACTAGCAATTCCTTGGGGGAGTCCGACCGACTCGGTCCTTCTCTTTTTCCTCCTGGACCATAATGCTCCCGAGTTGCTTACCCCTCCTAGGTCCTCACGCTAATCCCAAATGTTCTCTAAGCTTTGGACCCTACCACACATTTCAACCTTATTTCTGGAGCCCCTAGCATGTGTCAGGCCCTGAGGGTAACAAGACACAGCCTCAGCTCTCAAGGGAGACAGCAGCCCGGGGAGGGCTACCGCTAAGTAAACAGGAAGTGACAACACAATGTGCTGAGTACGAGGACACAGGAAAGTGCAAGGTACCACGGGACACGATGACCCAGCACGTATCTAGATTTGAGAGGTCAAGGGAGGCTTTCTGGAAGGGAAGTGATGTCTGAGCTGAGCTGAGGACAAAGCAGAGGTGTCCAGATGAAAGGACGAGGTCCTCGCTGCGCGGGGACGCGGCGTGCTGCCACTGTTCTGTTCGAGTGGCCCAAGGGTCTGTTTGAGGAAGTGAAAGGCGCTGGGGGCTGGCTGGACGGCAGGGGAGGATGCGAGAGGGCGGGGGTGCACAGAGGGCGGGGGAGGAGGCTGGGGCCAGACGGGGGCGGAAGGAGCCAGGTCAGAAAGGGCTTTTGTCCGTAGTGCTGAGGAGTTTGGACTTTATCCCAAAGCCACCAGGGAGCCACTGCAGGGCTTTAATGAAAGGAGAAACAAGTACCACAAGTGGGCCAGTGAAACTACAAAACCTCAAATGAGAATTGTTGATCTCGGGAGGGAAAAACCACCCTCGAGACTGAGCCACACAGTCTCAGTGCCGTCCGGCTTCCCAGGCGGACTCGGCGGGGAGCACCCCGCGCAGCAGGGGAGGAGAGTGCGGGCTTTCCTCGGTGAGCCCGCAGGGGACTGGCCAGAGAGTCCTGCGATGCCGGGATTCGCAGAGGGCTTTGAGACGCCAAAAATTCGTCTCATCACATCATCGGGCAAAATGGACGTTCCGGGAGCCGAGGCCATGTTTATCCTAAAGTTTCGGAAGTCCTGGACATGGCCCTCCGCACCCCATTCTCTCAGAAACAGTCTGAATGAAGGACAGAAGGAGGGACAAGGCCATGGGGAGAGCACACTGCCGACGCAAAGTTCTCCCTCTTCCCCAGCCCGGTATCACACAGACGGAACATGGCCCTTCTTCCTCCCCGCTCTTCACCCCGCCGGTGCTCAGAGAAACCCCCCATGGGTGCAGTCCACCCCCTTCATCCCAGCCCCCCAGCCTTGCCCTGCCACCGCCCCCAAGCTCCACCCTAGCTTCTAAAGAGCATTTGTGCCTCTGCTAGCCTTCATCAGACACTGTTATTTTTATACAGGTGATTGGGTTGGGGGCTGTCTCTCCCCCTCTACGTTTTAAACTTAGGAGCAAAGAGCCGTGTTTCCTAGCTCTGCTGCCTATTCAGTGCTTTACCCACAACGTGCGCCGAGTAAAGTCTTACTGAATTGAACTGATTAACCTGGCCCTTTCTTCCTACTGAATTGAACTGATTAACCTGGTCCTTTCTTCCTTGTTCTGCTGCTAATAATTCTAGGCTCTAAAAGAAAGGAAATGCTTAAAGATCAATTTAGAAATTTAACACATTTTGTGGATGTGCTCACAAATCTCAGATATGTTATTTTGTGGGGAGCTAATCTACTTTTTTTTTTAATAGTTGTTTTCTCATCAATTCCTTATTTTTTTTAATTGATGTAGAGTTGTATCATCATCATTTGTAGAGTATGTCATCATATGTCATCATCAATGTAGAGTTACATCAGTTTCAGGTGTTGAGTCAACTTACTTTTTATCACCGGGCATGATATCGTTTTCCTTTTTAAAGGTAGATACCAATCACTCATACGTTACTGGTGGGAATGTAAAATGATACAGCCACCCTAAAAAATAGTTTGGCAGTTTGCTATAACACAAAATATGCAATCACCATATGACCCAGCAATTGCACTCTTGGGCATTTCTTCCAGAGATAGGAAAAGTTATTCTCACATAAAAACCTGAACACAAGTATTTATAGCAGCTTTATTCATAGCTGCAAACAATTAGAAAGAAGCAAGATATCCTTCAATGAATAAATGTTTAAACAAACTGGCACATCCACACCATGGAATAAAAAAAGAAAAAATGAACTACTGATACACACAACTTGGAGGGACCTCAAGGGTATTATGCAGAGTTTTGTTTTTTTTTTTTAAAGTCAGCCTCAAACAGTTATATGCTATGTCTATTCTAGTAACATTCTTGAAATGACAAAAATATAGAGATGGAGAAGAGTTTAGTAATTGCCAGAGGTTAGAGACTTGGGGGAGGGAAAGGCGGGGGAGGGGTGCGGAAGGGAAGAGGGTATGGGCATAAAATAGCAACTCGGGATCCTTGTGGTAATGGAACTGTTCTACGTTTACACGTGTGATAAAATTACACAGAACTCACACACACACACACACGAGTGCATGTGACACTGGTGAAATTTGAATAAGGTGGGTGGATTGTAACCACAGCAACTTTCTGGTTTTGATACTGCCTTCTAGTTACAGACCATGTTACCTTTGGGAGAAACTGCATGAAGGGTACACTGGGATCTCCCTGTACATTTTTTGCAACATCCTGTGGATCTACAGTTACTTTTTAAAGAAAGTAGACACCAAAAGCAGATGCACCCTCCACTGAAGCAAACTGCCCATCTTCTTGGATTTGTAAAAAGAATATGTGGTATATATACACAATGGAATACTACTCAGCTGTTAAAAAAAAATGAGATCTTGCCATTTGCAACAACATGGATGGACCTAGAGGATATTACAGTAAGTGAAAGAAGTCAGACAAATACCATATGATTTCACTTCTATGTAGAATCTAAAAAACAAAACAAACAGACTCTTAAATACAGAGAACAACCTGGTGGTTGCCAGAGGGGAGGTGGGTGGAGGGTGGGTGAAACAGACAAAGGGGATTAAAAGGCACACACTTCCAGTTAAATAAGTTAAATAAAAATAAGTTAAATAAAAAACAAATAAGTCAGGGAGATGCAAAGCACAGCATAGGCAATATAGTCAGTAATACTGCAATAATGTGGTACGGTGACAGGTGACGGCTGCACTTATCGAGGTGAGCACTGAGTCATGTACAGAATTGTTGAATTACTATGTCATCACCTGAAACTAATATAACATTGTGTGTTAATTTATACTTCAATTAAAAATAATGATAATTAGGGGACGCCTGGGTGGCTCCGTTGGTTAAGCATCCGACTCTTGGTTTCTGCTCAGGTCACAATCTCGGGGTGGTGAGGTCGAGTCCCGCGTCGGGCTCCACGCTCAGCAGGGAGTCTGCTGGAGACTTTCTCTCTCCCTCTGCACCCCCCTCCCTGTGCTCATGCTCTCTCAAAATAAATAAATAAAATCTTAAAAAAATAATGATAAACAAAGCCCCAAAAACCAGGACGTTCTTTCTTCGGTTTCGGTTTTTAAGTAGGTTAGATCCCAACGCTCCCCAAACAATCACAATCAGTCCTTCCCCCACACGTCTCCCATACACACTCACCAATAGTAGAGAGTATAGTTGGTGTCTGGACTTGTATTCCTTCCAGGGAGCCAAGTACACTTCATGTAGCTCAGGTTGTGCCAAACACATTGTAGCTCAGTCACAGCAGACTCGGGATCACCTAGAAGATCCAGCCAAGGGTTTAGGATGCTTCTTTCCCTGTCAGCCAAACCCGCCAAACCCCCTGGGGCATGAGGGATGGTGAGAGTGTTTTACCAGAAAGCCAATTCCTAATTTCTCATACCATTTTACACAGAAGTCACCCAGGATGGAGAAAACCCAAATCTAACTTGTTACAACTTTCTCTCTCACCTCCAGATCCCAAGAAAATATCTTTACTATCACTGAGGGACCCTAACTTTGTATTCCTAACTGGAGAGAGAGTTTCATGGTCAAATAATATTTCAGTGGTAGGAAATGAGTATGGCATTCCTAAATGAGTGTGAAAACACAAACAACCCATATATCTACCCGTCTTTAAAGAAAACAAGTCTATTGAGTTAAAATTTACCTTCCTGTCTTTTGACCAATACTAACACATGTTGTTTTAAAGACGAAGCAAACATTCTTCCTGAAGCAGTTTGGGGGAAAGTCAGCATTAATATAACTCTTGGTAGTTGTTTACTGTGTGTTAAGACTTTAGGAGCCATATAATCTGAATCATCTGAAATCCCTACCTTTATAATATAGCCTTCTGAGTTAAGGCATCGTGTCCGGATTCTTGAAGGAGTATTATCCGGAGGCATCATCAACCATTTTAATGTCATAGTACAATTTAGGCTTTTTCGTATTATTTATTAAACTTCTAAAGAAATGAGAATGGGGCAGTAAGTTGTTTCAAACCAGGCTCCCAGCCTTGTGGCAGTACTGAATTTTACAGTTTTACAAATGGGACTTCATATACTTTTGATCCGTGCAAGGCAGGTAGAGGGAAAGGCCTAGAGAACGGGCCACATAGTGCTAAGGTTTGGAAGTGGGAGAGATGGGACCCTCCAAACAAGGGGCAACATGGGATTACTAGATGATACACATCCAGCCTTTATGCGTTGCCGGGCGCTGTTCTAAGCCCCTCGCCTAGACTGACTTCCGTAACCCTTTCGACAGTCCTGGGAGGCAGGTGCTACCATCAAGGCCATTTTACAGCTGAGCAAAGCGAAGCGGGGAGGGGTTAAGTCGTCTGCTGCAGGTCACGCAGCTGTTCGCTGGCATCACTGAGACTTAAACGTGGACATCCGGGCTCCAGGAGCCCTGCCCTTCATCAAGAGAAGCTCCTCCCTGCACACAGCCCAAGTGCCAGCAGGACCTGGGTGATGGGCAGGAAGGGGCCTGAGGGCCAAGGCCCAACCTGCCCACATGGCCGCTTTTCCTAGGGCTCGTCCTGAACTGGAGCTAGGCCAGCAGGCCCGTTTTCCTTTTCTAACATCTTTCCCCAAATACATCTTGTCTATCAAGCTAACCTTTCTATCGAATGAGGAAGACAGTATTTGGGGTTTTCTTAAGGCACTGGACCCGTAATCTGAAGACCTAGAGTAACACACTCAGTTCCCTTCTTGCTCATAAAATGGAGCAGGGTAATAATCCATGCCTTGCTCGCTTCGCAAGATAAGCTTCTGAGGCTCAATTTAGGGGAGGGCGTCTGTGTGTGTACATCGCATGCCGAGTGATTAACTGCTATAGAACTCTGAGGCATGGTGATTCAAGTCGTAAGCACCTCGAAGGCAGGGATGTCCTCGTATTTATCACCTAGTAACATGCCTGGAACCTATCAGACTCAGCAAATATTTGAAAACTGAATGAATTAATGAACACTGAACATGAACATATGGACAATTTGCCTTTCTCCCCCAAGTACCAACAAACAGTGCTTTCGGTTGTTACCTTCCGGGGGCGGGGTGCACTTCTCCACCAAAATGCTAGGATTGTCACTTTCATTGGTGCTGCACTGGGACCCCACTTGCAGACAAATCCTCTCGTTCAGGGGCACTTCTTTTGAACGATGGGTTTCAGGAGCAATTTTCTAAGGTAAGGAAATTGTAAAAAGCTATTGCTCTAGCAAACATATAGCAAAACACTTAGGTAATAAAACATTAGCATGTTCAAATGTGTAAAAAAAAAAAAAAAAAAAGGGAAGGTTATCAGATGGCACAGGTCAGTGACTCTCAACCTCGGTGATTTTGCTCTCCCTGCCCCCAGCCCCAATCCCGGGACCGTGTTTGACTGTCACAACCTAGGAGGGCGCTGCCACTGGCATGTGTAGGCAGATGCCAAGGATGCTACTGAACGTGCCTCAGTGCACAGGACAGCTTTCCCTCCCCCTACAGCAAAGAATTACCCCGCACCAAATGTCAGTAGTGCCACCGCCGAGAAACCCTGGTATAGATAAAAGACAATTTCCCGCATTTTAAATGTATAAACATCATGACATTTGCCTATAAACCTACCATGCTAACACATCAACTGTCTAAAAGCGATTTTAAAGGAAACACAATAAGATGATCAAAACTAAATTTCTAGGGGCGCCTGGGTGGCACAGTCAGTTAAGCGTCTGACTCTTGGTTTTGGCTCAGGTCGTGGTCTCAGGGTCGTGAGATCAAGCCCCACATCGGGCTCCGTGCTCAGCATGGAGTCTGCTTGGGTTTCTTTCTCCCTCTCTCTCTGCCCCTCCTCCTTGCGCTCCCTCTCTTTCCCTCTCTCTCTCTAAAAATAAATAAATCTTTTTTTTTTAAGATTTTATTTATTTATTGAGAGAGAGAGAGAATGGTAGAGAGAGAGCACGAGAGGGAAGAGGGTCAGAGGGAGAAGCAGACTCCCCGCCGAGCAGGGAGCCCGATGCGGGACTC